AGAAACATCGATGAGAAAGAAACATCGATCAGCTGCCTCCTGCACACCCCCTACTGGGGATGTGCCCACAACCAAGGTACATGCCCTTGACCAGAATCGAACCCGGGACCCTTCAGTCCGCAGGCCGATGCTCTATCCACTGAGTCAAACCGGTCAGGGCTATGAATTTCTTGTTAGCTCAGAAAATCCTCTAATTTATATATTATGCTATTGTAGTCAAAAAGCTCAAAAAGCTGAGCCTGTGAGAGGGCTCAGGCTGGGCTGAGGGGACCCCCCCTCCCTAAACTCATGAGTGCATGGATTTCATGAACTGAGCCTCTAGTTAAGAATAATATTATAAGACAGTGTGTACTTGCATAGTACCTGACACATGGAAGATTCTCAATAAATTAATTGTTGATTGAAGTAAATTGTTAATATATGCAGGGCCATGTTAAGTGTTGTAGGAGCTGCAAAGGGAGAATAATAAACCATATTTACTTTCAAGATGATGTAATCCTTTATAATAAAGTCCTAATATGCTAAGTGTCCAGTTGTCTGGTCAGCTGTTCAACCAATGAAAGCGTAATATTAATGATATGTTAAGGCTGCTCAACTGCTCGCTATGATGTGCACTGACCACCTGAATGATAGGTTAGCTTGCTGCTGGGGTCCAGCCGATTGGGACTGAGTGAGACAGGTCTGACATGCCCTGGAGCCCTCCCATGGTCCCTCCCTTGCTGGCCAACCTTCCATGTCCCTCCCCAGCCCCAATCATGCACCCGTGGGGGTCCATTGGCCTGGTCTGTGCCCTCTTGCAATCCGGGACCCCTCAGGGGATGTTGGAGAGCTGGTTTCGGCCTGATGGCAGAACAACTTGTTGCTATGATGCGCACTGACCACCCGCGGGCAGATGCTGAATGTAGCTGCCCCCCCCTGGTGGTCAGTGTGCTCCCACAGGGAGGCACTGCTCAGCCAGAAGCCAGGCTCACAGCTGGCGAGTGCAGCGGTGGTGGTGGGAGCCTCTCCTGCCTCTGCAGCAGTGCTAAGTATGTCTGACATCCCCCAAAGGCTCCCAGACTGCGAGAGGGCTCAGGCTGGGCTGAGGGGACCCCCCTCCCCCAACTCATGAGTGCATGGATTTCATGAACTGAGCCTCTAGTTAAGAATAATATTATAAGCCACGTGGGAAGAAATGAGTTAGTAATTCATGTGAGTAATACAAATTAATGTTAACCACATGAAGATGAGGGAGTCTTTATAAAGGGAATAGATTGTTAGTTGGACCTTGATGATAGTGTAAATAAAAGGTAGAAATTAAGTTCAATTTGCAACTGTGAAAAAAAGGAAAATGTCAAGCAAAATTTGAAAGGTCAATTCAATTTTATTTTAACATTATCTTACAGCATAGTGAAGAATCATTTGTATATGAAAAGAATTACAGATAGGGAAAGTAGATTATCAGGGATGATTTGCCCTCATTTTATAGAAAACTGAATTATGACACAAAAATATTTCTTTTTTTTAAAATATATTTTATTGATGTTTTACAGAGAGGAAGGGAGAGGGATAGAGAGTTAGAAACATCAATGAGAGAGAAACATTGACCAGCTGCCTCCTGCACACTCCCTACTGGGGATGTGTCCGCAACCAAGGTACATGCCCTTGACCAGAATCGAACCTGGGACCTTTCAGTCCCCAGGCCGATGCTCTATCCACTAAGCCAAACTGGTTAGGGCCCAAAAGTATTTCTTAACTTGCTTGAGATTCCACAGACAATAACAAAAATGAAAGCATACTTGTTTGAGAAGTTTTAAGGAAAACAATCTAGACCTCTTTTTCATAATTACACATGCTCACTTATATTCAAAGTTCTAGTACAAGTTTGGTGCATATTAGTGAATTAATTGTTTATTTAATATTTAAAAATATGCATTCATTTAAAAAGAAAACAAGCCTCATAATGGTAATTCCTACCTACAGATATCACTCTGGAATCTCACAAAGTAGAAACAAAGTCATATGATGTAATTTCCCTTTTATATTTATGCTAGGATTAAATAATTTAAGACTAAATTAGATCAGGAGCTATGTACTATCTATGGAAACATTGTATTTGCATAGTGAAGAATTGCTCCTTGCCCAAAGAGAGGTCTGGCGTTTTCCCTCTTCTTTTGAAAGTTAATCTTTTACTAAAGGCCTGATGCACAAAATTTGTGCAAGAATAGGCCTTCTTTCCCCCAGCTGCCGGCACCAGCTTCCCTCTGGCACCCGGGACTCGGGCTTTCCTCGAAGCCCTGGCTTCCTTTGGAAGGTTGTCCAGAAGGACATTTGGTCTAAGGAGCGGCTTCTTTGCCTGGGATCCTGGGGAGGCGTGGCCTGGCCTGTTTGCCCTGTGATGGGCTCTGGGCTGGGGGGCATGGACCCGGGCCACCGCTTGGTGCCGGTGCACACACAAGCGGCCATGGGGCGGGAACATCCACTTGGCGCCTGCGCCCGTAGGCCCGAAGTGGCCAGGGATGTTCTGGGACACAGGCTGCTCAGGGCTTATGTGCGGGCCTACAGGCTAGGAGTGGCCTGGTCCCCAAGGATGTTCCTGTGACCCAGGCCACTTGGTGCCTGCGTATGCAAATTAACCTTCCATCTTTGTTGGGTTAATTTGCATACTCTCCTGATTGGCTGGTGAGCATAGTGGAGGGACAGTCAATTTACATGTTTCTGTGTTATTATATAGGATATCTAATAGAAGTGTGTTTGTTTAAGGTGGGAGCTGGCCACCATGTATCTTTGCATGAGGCTGAAAACACCTGACAATCTTAAGGTGGGACTGGCCAGAATGACTAACCATGTGATTTATGGTGCTAGCTTTAGGTCATTTGATATCACACAATCTGGAGATTGAGATCAACCATGTAGATAATCATCCAATTAATAATAGCTATGTAATAAAGTTCTAGTAAAAACTCTGGACACAGAAGCTTGGGTGAGCTTCCCTTGTTGGCAATACTATGTGTGTATTGTCATATATCAGTGCTAGGAGAGTAGTACATCATGTGTTCAAAGGAAAGTTTGTATTTGGAACCCTCCTAGGCTCTCTGCATCTTTTCCTTTGACCTGTACCTTTTTCCTGTAATAAATTATAATGATGAATACAGCTTTCAATGAGTTCTATCAGATCTTCCAGGGAATTACTACACGTGTCTGTGCTTTTATGAACACTCCAAATTTGCTCTTGTCAAAAGTAAGAGCAGTTTGGGAGACTGTGCCCTTAGACCTTGAATTTTGGCTAAGTCTGGGTAGTATCCTGTCGTGGGAAAGAAACTAATAGTTGTTTTATAAATTGTAACATTTTAGATTTGGATGGAATTACAAAGAACTATTCAAATATTATATTTTGGGGAAGAACATCAGGCAGGTTATGATTTGCTTCAATTCACAGAGATGGTTTGGTGGGTGGGTAAGGTTTATCACAATCTTTTGGGTTTCCCACTAAACTGTGTTATGTAATACAAGATTAACATCATCAATATTATTGGATATATTTGATTTCTATTTTATAAATGAAGTTATCACAATTCTTAATTTATATATTAGTAAACTATTGATTAATTTCATAGTATACTATATACAAAGATAAACTTAAAATAAAACCTTAGGCTTAATTGTAAGAAAACTATGCATTTCTAAAAATAACTAGTTTTCTAGAGCCTCTGTCTTCATCTGGGAAATACCAATTTACTTTGTGATTAATACTATTGTCACAGGTTTAACAAACTTATATATTTGGTTTTCGTTGGCTAATTCCAATTCAGCATATATTAGAATATCAAAGTGATGGCAGGCTCATACAATTTTCAGAATCATATATGCTTATAATGATGAAAAATAAGTATTTTCAGTGAGGCTAAAATGACAGCTTTAAAAAAAGCACATGTCAGAAATTCAAATAGTGTGGGGTTAACAATTAAGAGCCCTTAAATAGTCCTTTTTTATTAAACATGTGTGTTTTCTCTGGATAATATTTTTCCTCAAAATATCCAACAACAATTTTGAAAAATTGATGTTCTAAAAAGGAAACTAATGTGCTTCATCAAAATAGTTTAGCAATAAGACATCTCATTTTCAAATAATGAAATGACATATTGTTATAATATCATACATAAGCTATTATGAGGTAAATGAGATATTTTCCATACGCTCTAATGATAAAATACTAGAGAATCTGAAAGTGCAAGAACTGTCTGCTTAGAATCAGCACAAAGGAGATAGTCATATGTGTTTTGCTGGACTTCTCTTGCAGGAAGTACAATGAATAGTCCAAATCATTGTCGGCAATTATATTAATGATAAAATACTAGAGAATCTGAAAGTGCAAGAACTGTCTGCTTAGAATCAGCACAAAGAAGGAGATAGTCATATGTGTTTTTCTGGACTTCTCTTGTAGGAAGTACAATGAATAGCCCAAATCATTGTCGGCAATTATACTCTGCTTCATGTGGGTACAATTTGTGGTCTTATGTTCCATGAGAACCAGCATATATTGCATATAAAGGGAGTTTTTAAAGAAAAGCTTTTAAATGTTCCTAACATTATCAAGAAGTGCTTTTCAGCACCTGTTGTAAGTGGTGTTGTAAAAAATGCCTGGGATATAATAAAGTTTGAATATGTTACCGTGTATTTGCTCTTTAGACATGTAGAGCAAGGAAATAGACTCAGTGCAATGAAAGGAATGCAAATGGCATTTTCAGTAAACAATCAGTGAGTGAGTTTGTTATAATAATAAATTTGCAGGAAGCAATGTTGAAGAGGTAAATAGGAGATCATATAGTAGAGTTTTGAATTATAAGGGTTTTAGTATTTATTCTGTAGACACATGCCATTGACATGTGTTAAGACAATGAAGACATGCATACAAATGAATCCTTTAGTGAGAGCAATCTCAGAGTAGTGTGCAGAAAGCATTATAAGTGAAGTTGAAGAATTGGAGTGGTTTTTGATACACTATTAACAGGGGCACCGATTAAGAGAAAATGAGGTATACTTCATAACTTGGAATGCTCAATTACCCTAGTACACAAAGAAGAATGAACTCTAGAAATGATAATCTCTCTAAAATCTTTCATGTTTATAAAATGATTTATTTGTGATGCTTCTGATAATGACATAACCTGAAGTAGTCACCTTTGACTCAAGGAGATGATATCTGTGACAATGATTCTACTTTGGCATGAAAATAGAATGCAAAAATTTTCAGTTTTTTCTTCTCCATGTTTTAAATGAGAAGAAAAACTATGTAATCTCAAAATAATAGCAATCATTAAATTTTCACTTTGAATGATGAATTTTGCCAAGTATGTAATATATTTACAATCCCAATTTTCCATTTTTATTTTAAAAACAAAAATTAACTTTATTTCCTTACATAGTTTAAAATGAAAATGTTCAGAGTTTAATTTTAAATTGTGTGTGAATCCAAATTTGGCTTAAAATCCATGCAAAATCTATGTTTTTATGAATCTATATAAATGTTAACTTTTCCTAAAAAGTAAAATATTATAGCAAGATATTTTAGTTTTAGTATTTTAGTGCTGTGCAACTTGGAATAACTTATATATTATATATTACTTATTATACCAATAATCTTTTATCAGTATAGAGGGAATAATTAGCAACTTGGTATAACTTTGCAAATCTCATTTGCTAAATGTTTCACAAGTATGAAAAATATACAGCAACAAAACAAAATACTATACTATGTACAAATTTATAATGGCATTTTTTAATGACAAACACAAGAACACTATTTATATTTGCAGAAACGTATGTTTTTGTATTTGTAGTGGGAAGCCTTATGAGTGAGAGTGGATTAAGAATTAAGACAAATTTTTGAAAGTATTTATTAAAAATATATTTTGAGCTATACAAATTCATAAGGTAACTGGAAAAGAGCAAGTTGTATTTGGAAGTGCTTTATTGCTGCTGTGTTGAATGGTAAAGATAACTATCATAATGATTAAGTTGATTAAATATGCTTTCTTTATCCAACCAGAAATCAAAACCAAATAACTATTCTTAAAGCAGTAATCCCATATAGTAACAGCCTAATATGCTAAGTATCTGGTCATCTGGTTGTCCGCAACCAATCATTTGTAATATGCTAATGATATGCTAAGGCCACCCAACCGCTCGCTATGACGTGCACTGACCACCAGGGGGCAGACAGTCAACTGGTCAACCAGTTGCTATGATGTGCACTGACCACCAGGGGGAAGACGCTCTGACCAATAGGTTAGCTTATTGCTGGGGTCTAGCTGATTGGAACTGAGCAAGATGGGCCAGACACACCCTGGAGCACGCCCACAGCCTCTCCTCCCGGCCAGCCCCACACCCGATCAGCCCCCAACACCCTGATTGGGGGAGGAGCCGGCTGGCCAACCACCTGTGGCCCCTCCCCTGGCCAGCCCCGCCCCCGATGGGCCCCCATCAGGGTGGGCTGTCCAGACCCCAGCCATGCGCAAATTTGTGCACCAGGCCTCTAGTTATAAAATATTGTCATGTTAATTACTTTTTCCAAAAAATATCATTGAAATCATATCAATAAAAATATATGCATGTGTTAATGTATCATGTTCTCTTCTCCACTGCATGTATAGTTGTATACAAGTCAACTCTTTAATAAGTTGTTCCAATGTCTGTTCTGGATGATGTGTGTACTTTGCCACTCTTAAGTCTCTCATTTTTTACAATTTATGTCAATTATCTTTCTTGGGTACTGTGAAATATTTAAAAATACTTAC